CGTTTGCGAGTCAGCTCGTCGCGGAGTTGGTGGAACTTCCGCCATCCCACGGCAATTTCGTTGGAGAGTTCAGCGCAGTTCTGTTGGTAGCCGTGTGGTGTCAGCTTTCGGCCAAGGTATTTCGTGCTTTGCTCGGAATTGAATATTTCGACGTTATCACCGTCGATGTCAGCGTGTGTCGTCGTTCGTCCGTGCTGCCGGCTCGTACTTGCGAGGATTTTGGTTTTGCCTGGGTGCAACTTTAGTCCGCGTGCGGACTATCAGATTCAGATCCCATTCGGACGTCCTATTCAGATCTGATGAGACATCGCCGTCGTTGTGCAGCGCCACAGCGACAGGGCGCGGGCCGCGCTGCTCGTCCAGGGTTCCGATGGAAAATAATCGCAACCCTCTTTCCTCATCCTGCCTCTCTCGTTGTCGTCCTTTTCCCCTTCACTCCAGTCCCTGCTGCTGGTTTGCCCCAGCGCGGGCCTCTTTTCTGAATCTGAGTCTTTATTCATTCTTGTCGCCCCCCGGATTTCCCCCCTTCCGCCTTCCCCTGGTCCTTCTTTCCCTCCCGATCTTTCAGGTTTGTTTCCTGCTAGTGCTGCTCGTCCTCATCTTTTCCTCCCGCTCATCCTCCAGCTCGCCCGCCACCTCCTCCTGTGCACGCAGCTCTCCTCCGTCCGACTGCGCACGACACGACCATGGTCTCCCTGTGTGTGGGTCGCAGGCCGGCTATGACACGCGGACAGAGACGAATCAATACCATAAAGAAGGATGGGAGGGAAGGATAAGATGTCAAATGAAGCGCGATCAAACCTGGCTTTCCCAGCGGCCCTTCGCTCGGACCTCCTCTTCCCGTGCTCGCCGCCGAACCTGCTCGCGCACATCTCTGATGGCCTTTCGCTCTGCGGCCCAGCGGCGCCTCGGCGCCCAGCTCCACCACGCGCGTGCAAGCCAAGGCGCCGGAGGGCGGACCGGGAGACTAGACGTCTCCCACATGGGGCCCGAGTAGATTGGGGTCGGAGGATCGCCCCGCATCGCCGATGCATCTCCGACGCATTGACGATGCAGCGGCGATGCATCGGCGACGTCGGCGGTGCACCGGCGACGTCGGCGCGGAGGACATCGGGCTCCACGTTCGAGCCGCATCGCCGATGCATTGGCAATGCGGCGCGAACCTCCGACCCCATTTGCTCCGACCCCATCTGGGAGGCCTCGAATTAGGTCGGGCATGTCCCCTTACAGGCGGATTTTTGAAGAAAATGAAACTTGTCAAAACATCGTCAACCATAGTCAAAGCATCATCGGATTACGCAACCGAGAAATCCCACATAGTTATATGTCGGGGAATGATCGCTGAAGTGAGACATGCGAGAATGATGCTGGTGGCTGTTGCCCCGCCGATACCATTGGCGGCGCTGGTCAAGAGGAGAGGAGGTCACCGAGGGTCCTTTCCCAGGGCGGCAACAAGCACTTCGGTCACGCAGGACACGGAACGAGATCTTCGTCGAAAAGCATCCGACCCTTTCCCGCCCTGGCACGGGCGCCTCCCAAGCTCTCAGACCTTGGCAAGCATAGGGGCCGCGGTGAGGGACCACCCCGTGCGCACCCTCTATGGTGTCGAGAAAATGCCACGCCTGCCACGCTCTCAGACCCTGGCACGCATACGGGCCGCGGTGAAGGACCACCCCCTGCGCACCCCCTATGTTGTCGAGAATGTGCCACGCCTGCCACGCTCTCAGACCTTGGCACGGATAGGGGCCGCGGTGAGGGACCCCCCCTGCGCACCCCCTATGTTGTCGAGAGAATGCCACGCCTGCCACGCTCTCAGGCCCTGGCACGCAGGGGGGCCGCCGTGAGGGACCACCTCCTGCGCAACCCCTACGGTGTGAAGAAAGTTCCGCGCCTGCCATGCTTTCAGACTCTGGCACGCATAGGGGCCGCTGTGTGGACCACCCCCCTGCGCCCCCCCTTAAGTTGTCGAAAAAGTGCCACGCATGCCACGCTCTCAGACCTTGGCACGCAGTGGGGGACCACCCCCTGCGCACCCCCTATGTTGTCGAGAAAGTGCCACGCCTGCCACGCTCTCAGACCCTGGCACGCATAGGTGCCGCGGTGAAGGACCACCCCGTGCGCACCTCCTATGGTGTCGAGAAAGTGCCACGCCTGCCACGCCTTCAGACCCTGGCACGCATACGGGCCGCGGTGAGGGACCACCCCCTGCGCACCCCCTATGGTGTCGAGGAAGTGCCACGCCTGCCACGCTCGCAAGCCCTGGCACGCATAAGGGCCGCGGTGATGGACCAACCCCCTGCGCACCCCCTATGGTGTCGAGACAATGCCACGCCTGCCATGCTTTCAGACCCTGGCTCGCATATGGGGCCGCCGTGAGGGACCCCCCCTGCGCACCCCCTATGGTGTCGAGAAAGTGCCACGCCTGCCACGCTTCCAGACCCTGGCACGCATAAGGGCCGCGGTGAGGGACCACCTCCTGCGCACCCCAATTACGGTGTCGAGAAATTGCCGCGCCTGCCATGCTTTCAGACCCTGGCACGCATAAGGGCTGCCGTAAGGGACCACCCAATGCGCACCCCCTAAGGTGTCAAGAAAATGCCGCGCCTGCCAAGCCCCCTGCGCACCCCCTATGGTGTCGAGAAAGTGCCACGCCTGCCACGCTCTCAGACCCTGGCACGCATGGGGGCAGCCGTGAGGGACCACCTCCTGCGCACCCCCCTATGGTGTCGAGGAAATACCACACCTACCACGCTCTCAGACCCTGGCACGCATAAGAGCCGCCGTGAGGGACTACCCCGCGCGCACCCACTACGGTGTCGAGAAAGTGCCACGCCTGGCACGCTCTCAGACCTTGGCAGGGATAGAGGCCGCGGTGAGGGACCACATTCTGCGCACCCCCTATGGTGTCGAGAAAGTGCCACGCTTGCCTGATGGCTGCATGTGGACGTGCGTATCATGTGGCTACCCAGTATGTGGCGCATGCGTCTTGATGTACGATGCCGTCGACACGCCAAACGCGCACTGGCGTTGTATGATGTGTGCGCGAATGTGTACATACGTGCGGTTGCATGTGACGCGTGTCTCATGTACGTGTCGTGCGTGTGTAGCGCGTGGGTGAGGGGAGGAATGAAGAGGAGGAGGATGAGGAGGAGGAGGAGGAGAGGAGAGAAGGAGGTGAGAGAGGAAGACGCAGGCGCGACGAGGCATGAGGAGGGGTGAGGAGAAGACGCGGGTGGGACGCGGGAGAGAAGAAAACCATAACCCCACCAAGGATGTGGGGAAAAATCGTCCCCATACTATTTTCCTGACTAGTCTGGAATAGTCCTCCGGTAGAAAGACGACATACGCGCCCAACCATGTACGCGAACAACGGCCCCTCGACCCGCGAGACCGCCCGCGTGACACGAACGTCCGCGCAGTGCACACTCTCGAACCAACGTGGATTCGTGTGCGTGTACACGTTCATTTCTAATCGTGCTCATTTCTAATCGTGCCCCTTTGTGGCCAGGAAGAGGCCCAGGACAGAACAATGAGAAGTGAAAGGGTCCTGGCACCCCCCAAAAAATTGAAGAACTTTCGAAGCATTAGAAACGAACAATGCGTACGTGTGCGTCCTTCTTTCGCTCCTGCGGCTAAGAGGGTTTGGGTGACCCAAAAGGGTATCCAGCTGAACGGGGGTGGTGCAATAGATTTGGGGCAATTGGATTGCAACCGTATTGCGCCGGATAATTGGATTGCGTTGTATTGCAAGTGGTGTATTGCAGGCGAAAAATCCAGCAATACATTTGCGCCCCCGGAATGTACTGCACGCCCCAAGTGTATTGCAAACCCACGAAGCTATTGCACCAGATGTACTGCACCAGCCCCCTTTGTCGCTGGACCCCCTTTTGGGTCCACCCGCGAGGGACGGCGAGGGAGCGAGCGAGCCTGCCCGCGCCGCGGCGGTGCACCGGAACGCGCCGTGCCGCGCGAGGCGCGCCTCGGCGGCCGGGCACCGCCTCTGCCTCGGCTCGCCCGCGGGCGGAGTCGCGCGGCGTCCGCCCCTCGCGGCTTCGGCGCCCCTGCAGGGCGGCCGCGCGGGGCTCTCGATGGCGCCCTGGTGCTGCGCGCCTGCTTGCCTCCCCTCCGCCCCCCTCGCTCTCCGCCCTCTCGCTTGCTCGCCTCCTCTCCGCCTCCTCTCCAGCCGCGCCGCCGCCGCCGCTGGCCTTTTCCTCCCTCGCGGCTTGCGTGGCGGCCGGCCGGGGAAAGCGGCGCAATGGGCGCCGTTTTCGCTGGTTGCACCGTCTCAGATGCGCGTTTTTTTGTGCGTGTGGGCGTGTCTTATACCGCTCCTGGACGCCTCCCTCCCTCTGCCATCGCCTCTCACTCTTCCGCTTGAAATGGCATCAGGACGTTTTTTGCCGGTGGAGCTGTTTATTCTGACTTCTCCCTGTATGCTTTGCTTGCTTCTGCTCACGGTGGTCCACTCCGTGGTCTCCTCGTGTCTCGCGATCTCCCACCTGGGTGCTTTGATTCGGATGCGTCGAGACTTATTACAAGTACGGGCAGTTCGGCAAGGAGCGGCCGTCTACTACTTGGTTTGAGATTGAGCTGCGGCCTAGCTTTCTGTCTTTCTGTCTTGCCGTCTCGTCTCGCCCTTTCCCGTGTGTCTCTTGTTTGCCTTCTCCCCGCCGCGCCGTTCTCGCCCCCGTTGTGGCCCTGTTCCGCTCGCCGCCTGTTCGGCTCGCTTTACCACTTTGACGGTGCGCGGTCGGTCCCGCGACGCTCGCGATCCAAAATAACATGTTTTGCTCAGTGTGCACATGGTCTGCGCATGTCGGCTGTGAACCTGAGAAAAACGAGCGTTGGTCATGGTACGTCGCATGTGGGCGCTCCGAGAAAACTCCTGTCACAACTAGGGTGCGGGAGAAGACCCGTCCTCCGCCTACCACCTGGCGCCGCTCGCCCAGCACAGAAGAAGGAGCAGGAAGGAAAAGGGGCATGGCAATGGGATCTTCCGCCCTGGGTCCTGGGAGTATCTGCATCGTCCCTCCCCCCTCAGGGCCAAATTGTCCGTCTTCACCTTCTTCCAAGACGCGGCCGCGTCGTCTGCGGACAGCTGCAGAAGAGCCCTCTTGACGACCCCCTGCTGCACGTAGCCCCGGACGACACCCCAGCGGCCGTTGAGGGCCCTGCCAGCCTCGCTGACGAGGCCGTCTACAACAACCTCGGCACCAACGGGGAAGACAGGCGGCAGTTCTGACTGCTTAGGCGGCAACTTCTGCGGAGCCTCCTCTGGCAGGAAGAACCACTCCGGCAGCCAATCCTCCAGTTTTCTCCTCTTTGGGCAGCAGCGGGGTCGCAGGTACCTCGGGCCAACCACGGTGTAGTACACGTATTTGTACAGGAAGTCTCCCCAATCGCGCAAAGAGTTGGGCGCTGGCAGAAGAAGAAGCATCTGCACAAACATAAACTTTCGGCGGAAGCCCGCGCGGCGCGAATTTTTTCGATCGTTGCCGGCGCGCGGAGCCCGCCAGGGGGCGGCGCTGGAGACCGCCAGAGGCGCCGTCGAGGGAGCACAGCGCCGATTCAAGAGAAGATCCGAACGGACCTCGCAACAACATTTAGGCTCATGTCTGGGGAAACCACACCGATACCGCTTCTCCCCGGACCCCTCCCGGGCTGTGTTCTCACTCGACTCTCGAGGCGAATCCAGCGGTGGTGACGAGGGCCTTCCATGAGGCCTCAAAAAAGCGAAAACGAAGCAGGGGTAGCGATATCGGTACCTCTTCCTCCTACGAATGTCTGTGCCAATTTTCCTTCTTCGGGATGGGTCAGCGGGCAACGTCGTCGCGGTGGCCGCCATCGACAGGGAGCAGCGGGGCGCAGCCCGGCGACTCCGAAGGGCGTGGTTTGCACAGGGTGTGCTTTGCAACCCGCGCGTGGGGGGGGGGGGGGGGCGAGGACCTCGGCAGAGATCTCCGCTGCGCCCCAACGAGGGCTCATAACACCTTTGGCGCGACGTGGTGACTCCCTAAGCCCCGACGGTGCCGATCGCAAACCACACCCTTGCGCAACCACACCCACTGCTTGGCGGCGAGCCCCGGGGGGGGAGGAGTGAAAGGGGGCCGGGCCTCCTCGAAAGGCGGCGGGGCTCCTCAGAAGCCCTCGCGCCCTCCGAGAAGTCTTCGGGGCCTCCAGGGGGGAGGAGGAGTAGGAGGAGGAGGAGGAGGAGGAGGAGGAGGAGGAGGAGGAGGAGGATGATGATGAGGAGAGGAAGGAGGAGGAGGAGTGATGAGGAGGCGGATGATGATGATGATGATGATGATGATGATGATGATGATGATGATGATGATGATGATGATGATGATGATGATGAGGAGGAGGAGGAGGAGGAGGAGAGGACGATGATGACGGAGGATGATGATGGAGGAGGAGGAGGAGGAGGAGGACGGAGCAGGAGGAGGATGAGAAGGAGCAGGAGGAGGAGGAGGAGAAGGAGGAGGAGGAGGAGGAGGAGGAGGAGGAGGAGGAGGAGGAGGGGGAGGCCCAGGGCACGTCTCAGCAGGCCCGCGGCCTTCCGAGCCTCCCGAGCAGGCCCGCCCTCGCTCGCGTGCCCTCCCCGGGCGCGCCGCCGAGCTGCAGGCGCCGAGCGGGGCCGCGCGCGATGGGGGGCGAGCGGCGGGCGCTGCCGGCGCGAGCGCGCCCCCTCTGGGGCGGCGGCCGGCGCGAGCGCCCCTGAAGCGCAGATGGGCTGTGGCCGGCGATCGGGGCCTGGGGCTCCCCACTCTGCCCAGGGGCGTGCGTGGTCGCGACGGAGGGCCCATCGCCGATCGATCGACTGCGTGCCGCCGGCTCCAAGTGAGTGTTTCCCCCACTCCTCCCCCTGTGAGCCAGCCCCAGACGTCCGACTTCCTGATTCTTTCAACGCCTTGTCCCTGAAGTCCCGACCGGTTCCCCTGGGCCAGCTCTTCATCCCGAGTCGGTTTTGTCGGTCCCAGTCGGCGACTACGAAGGGTGTGGCTACGCTGAGGTGTGGCTTGCGAGCTGCGTCGTTAGGGCCTGGGGGCACCGCGTTGCCCTCGTCGGGCCTCCTCGGGGCACGGCAGAGAACTCTGCCGAGGTCCTCGCCAGCCCCCTAGGGTTAAGTCGGGCGTGCCCCGCTACAGGGGGATTTTGAACGAAAGATAAGACATGCACTAAAAACGTGCAAACATAGCCCAAAGTTGTCAAACCATAGTCCCCAAACTATTTTTAAACTATGTTTGGATATTCCTCCTGTAGAGGAACATGCCCGACTTAACCCCAGGGTGCGGGTTGAAAACCACACACTTTGCAGTCCACACCCTTCGGAGTCGCCGATGCGGAGTCCCAGGCACCCGGCGGCTCGACCACATGGCGGGTTCCCGAAACTCTGAGGGGCAACGATAGGGGGCGACAGGCATAGGGGGGGATGCATCGACTTGGAATCGGCGACACATCGTCGATAGATCGGCGACGGCTCCCCGATAGTGAATCCGCACCTTCCTGGGCATGGTGGCTCTGTCGGGCCCCTATCGGCGATCAATGGGCGATTGGGGATCGATGCATCCCCCCCCATGGCTACTGTATTCCCCCCCTAACGTTGCTCCCGAAACTCGCAGCATCCAAAAGTGTGGCCATCTCTTGGGGCCGCACCTGTTGTGCTTCCGCCGGCTTCTTCGGCGACAGTCTGCCGGCGGAGCCGCCCCCGTTTGTACTTCTGGGACGGGGTCCCAGAGCTGCACGATCGACATGGATACGGCAAGAGCAGGCACGAAGACTGACGGCAATTCCTGACCGTTTTGAATAGGAGTCGCCGTCGGCGTGGCCGCGGAGACGTGTCGGGCGTCCAGATCAAACCTCCAGCGGCTCGAACACACCGAAAAGGCCAGTTTTTCGTTTTCAGGCGAAAAACCGGCCACTTCGTGTTCTTCTCGTGTTCCCAGAACACCATTCCCAGGCCACTTTTTGAATGCCCAGAGCCAACTGTAGGCCACTTCGTGTTCTTCGTGCTCCCAGAACACCACTCCTGTACCATATTTTGATTGCCCGGAGCCAACTGTGGGCCACTTCGAGATCTTCGTGTTCCCAGAACACCAGTCCTGTGCCATATTTTGAATGCCCGAGCTGAGGCAGGCTGAGGCCGAGGCAGGCTGAGGCCGAGGCAGGCTGAGGCTGAGGCTGAGGCACGCCGAGGCAGGCTGAGGCTGAGGCTGAGGCAGGCTGAGGCTGAGGCAGGCTGAGGCTGAGGCTGACGCAGGCTGAGGCCGAGGCAGGCTGAGGCTGAGGCTGAGGCAGGCTGAGGCTGAGGCTGCAGGCTGAGGCTGAGGCTGAGGCTGAGGCTGAGGCTGAGGCTGAGGCAGGCTGAGGCTGAGGCCGAGGCAGGCTGAGGCTGAGGCTGCAGGCTGAGGCTGAGGCTGAGGCAGAGGCTGAGGCTGAGGCAGGCTGAGGCTGAGGCTGATGCAGGCTGAGGCTGAGGCTGGCTGAGGCTGAGGCAGGCTGAGGCTGAGGCTGAGGCCGAGGCAGGCTGAGGCTGAGGCCGAGGCAAGCCGAGGCAGGCTGAGGCTGAGGCTGAGGCTGGCTGAGGCAGGCTGAGGCTGAGACAGGCTGAGGCTGAGGCTGAGGCAGGCTGAGGCTGAGGCAGGCTGAGGCTGAGGCCGAGGCAGGCTCAGGCCGAGACAGGCTGAGGCTGAGACTGAGGCTGAGGCTGAGGATGAGGCCGAGGCAGGCCGAAGCTGAGACAAGGTGAGGCTGAATGGGGGGGGGAGGGGGGGAGGCTGAGGCAGGCTGAGGCCGAGGCAGGCAGGCTGAGGCTGAGGCAAGCCGAGGCAGGCTGAGGCTGAGGCTGAGGCTGACTGAGGCTGAGGCTGAGGCAGGCTGAGGCTGAGGCTGACGCAGGCTGAGGCTGAGGCAGGCTGAGGCTGAGGCTGAGGCTGAGGCAGGCTGAGGCTGAGGCCGAGGCAGGCTGAGGCTGAGGCTGAGGCAAGCCGAGGCAGGCTGAGGCTGAGGCTGAAACTGAGGCAGGCTGAGGCATCCGTAGGAATCCATAGGAATCCTTAGGAATCCCTAGGAATCCTTAGGAATCCGTAGGCATCCTTAGGAATCCGTAGGCATAGTTAAGCATCCTCAGGAATCCCTAGGAATCCTTAGGATTCCGTTGGATCCTAAGGCCGTTGCCACTGTGACTGTCATTGCGAATGCGACTGCGACTGCGAGAACAGCAGAATTCTACAACTGGATTCTCACCTGAATCTTAAGGGGAATGCTTCCAAATATGCTTATACACATCGCTGTTCGGTTGCTTAGCCGGGATCTTTTTTTACTTGGGCGACGAAGGCAAAGAGGTCTTGCACGAGAGGCCGTAGCGATCTCACGCGATGGTCTACGCAATCTGCCCAAGCACGGCACACCGCTCGGACAATAGGGAGGGCTTGGGCGCGATCTTGCTGGGGAAGCCCAAGCGCCAATACCCGCACAACCGACCCCGTTTTTCTACTTCGCTCAGTTGGGCAAGATAAGTCAGCACCGAATCGGAAGATCGGATCGGATCGGAACGTGCGTCGGATCGGGCTGCATCGGCATGGAGTCGAACTCGAATCGGACCGGCAGTACCAAAATGCGCTGTGTAGCCGTACAGGCATCTGGCGCACCTGGCCGCATCGGATCGCACGGACATCGACATCGGATCGCATCGGGCCGACCGGATCGAAACTTACCCTGCTTGGGTGGCCTGCTGCTTCTCCAGTCGCTTCCGCCGCCTCTCCCGCCGACTTCGGCGCTGGAGTCTGTCCCAGCATCCCCCCCGGCATCCCCAGGCCCCCCGCCCGCCTCCCCCCCAAAGGACGGGAAGGGGCCCATCGGTCGTTCCGCTCCGTCCTGCGGGAGCCCCTACAGGAGGAGGAGGAGGAGGAGGAGGAGGAGGAGGAGGAGGAGGAGAAGGAGGAGGAAGAGGAGGAGGAGGCGGAGGAGGAGGAGGAGGAGGAGGAGGAGGAGGAGGAGGAGGAGGAGGCGGAGGCGTGGCTCACGTGCGGACGACGAGGGATAGAAGGCTCTTGCGCAAGAGGGGCACGACGACCTCACGCGGCGGCCTTCGCGGGCCGCCGAGGCGGCAGGCTGCACGGAACGTGAGGCGCTCACGCATGAGCTTCCGCAAGCAGCTTGCGCAAGAATGTCTGCGGATCGATCCTCGATGACGATGACGATGACATGACGACGACAATTATGACGATGGCAAATTGATGACACTTGATGACAATTTGATGAGAATTGTCACCTTCCTACGTCGTTCATGTGCGCGTGGATCCTCCGCCTCCGACGTTCGCCCGACTTCCGACGTCCGACGACTCGTTCGCGGCGCCAGGCCACCGCTGCTCCCGAACCGCTCCGTAGGACCGGCTCCCCAACCCGGGTCGCTTCTTGATGTGGGGCCCAGATGCGGTCACCCGCTGCCGAGATTGACGGAACACGCCCGTCGTGGCTCGCAGGGGCGAACACTCAGAGCTCCGATCGGCGAGCGCCCCAGGGAACGACATCGGTGTCAGGAGGTCGACCTGCAGCAGAACGGCGATCGGATCTATATCCATTCCATTGTGAAGACGCGACGGCAGACAATCAAAAATGCACAGAAGTCAGCTGTGAGATGCACCGTCCTCGTCCTCGACCTCCTCCTCCTCGTCCTCCTCCTCCTCTTCCTCCTCCTTCTCCTCTTCGTCCGCCTCCTCCTTCTCCTCCTCCTCCGCCTCCTCCTCCTCTCCCTCCTCCTCCTCCTCCTCCTCCGCCTCCTCCTCCTCCTCCTCCTCCTCATCCTCCTCATCCTCCCATTCTCTCCACGTCGGGTTCCTGCAGCACTCGGTCGCTCCGGCGCTGCGCAGGCGGTTCCAGTGCAAGTCCAGGCTCCGGAGCAGCTTCAGCTGTCCTCTCGCCGACCGGCGCCCGCAGCGCTTCCCGCCTGCCTGCTTCTCCTCCCGGTGCTGCGGCTGCCTCTGCTGCCTCTGCCGCCTCTCCCTTCCCATCCTCTTCCTCTTTCCTTTCCCCCCGTGGCTCTGCCCTCTCCGCTGTCTCCGCTGTCCCCCTCTCTTTCTCTCGCTCTCTCTTGCTCTTCTTCTTCGATTCTCCTCTACAACCGCTCAGTACGGGTAACATGCTCTTCCCTCTTTCCCCAGACTCTGAGCCAGCGGGGTCTCTTTTCTCCTGCCTAATCCTTGTGACGCACAGGATTTCAAAAGTCAGTTTGCAGTGATAATTTCCGATCGGGACGATATGGTTTTTTCAAGCAATGTTGCTCCTGCCGAGGCGTTGGCCTCATTTCAGCACTGGAACTTTGCCCCTGTCGTTTCAGAACGGCTCTCTCGCCCTCATGCGGGCCGCACTTCTGGATCTGAATCCTTCCTCGTCATTGTCGCCTCCTCCTTTCCTCTCCTCCGCCCTCCCCTGGTCCTCATTGTCCTCCCGCTCCTCCTACTCCAACTCCTGCTGCTGCTCCTCCTCCTCCTCCGTCATCCTCCAGCGCACCCACGACCTCCTTCTCCACTGTACACACAAACACACACCTCCCTTCATAAGACGATAGGGGTCATTTTCAGGGTTCCAGGGCAGCCATGACACTCGTCGCCAGAGTGAAACATATCTTTGCAATCGTGGATGGGGTTCCTGGGAGGGGTAGGATGTCAGATGTGGCGCGAGCGCGCCTAGCTTTCATCTTTCCTTTCTTCGTTTCGTGGCACTACAGGGAGCTCCACCTAATCCCACAGGGGCGGGAGTCGCATGCGGTTCCGCGCCCATTTCGGCACATCCGGCACCCGCTTCGTGGCCCCACAGGGAGCTCCACTGAAGCCGGCATTCACACTCGCATCTGCTTGGGTCCTTCCGCTCTTTCCAACTGCCGGATGTCTGGGCTCCGCATCGCTGCTCCCTTTTTCTTTTTTTTTGTTGAGGCCATAAGACGCGGGCGGCCCTCCAACGGCCGCTCGGGACCCCGGAAGAACGCTCCCCCGCAAGGGGCGCAGCTGCTGGAAAGAGCATCCCGAGGCTGGACCATCGCCGACCACTGATAAGATTCTCGGACAACCTTTAACCTTTAGAGGCCTCCTGGATGGGGTCGGGGTAGGTGAGGTCCGAGGATCGCGCCGCATCGCCGATGCATCACCGATACATCGACGATGCATCGACGGCGCATCAGCGACGTCGGCGATTCGTCGGCGTGGAGAAAATCGGGCCCCACACCGAGCCGCATCGGCGATGCATCGGCGATGCATCGGCGATGCGGCGCGATCCTCCGACCCCATCTACTCCGACTTCATCTAGGAGGCCTAGAACCTTGAGGCTCGAACCCTCCTCGCCCTGCCGCGGGGCTCACGGGAGGCGTCCCACGAGCAGCCCCAAGGACTCCCCGGTGGCGTCCACCGCGCCCAGCCCGTTGCCGGCGAGGCCCAGGTGCGTGAGCGCGGGCCGACTGCCAGGGTCTTTTTTTTGGTCTCTCTCTCTCTCTCTCTGCGGGGTTCGAGGCTCGTTGGCACGAAGAAAACATGTCCTGAGGGGAACCCGAACGTCCGACGGCTCGAAAAAGATCGAGCTGGCCAAGTTCCACCACTCTGGGCCTCTGGAGGCACTGGGACTGGCAAAAAACGATCCAGGATGAAGAGCCCGACCCGAGGGCAATGCTCGAGAGGTCTGGAGGCCCATGTCTCAACAAACATCGAACCGCTCGATGTCTGGGAGCGGGTTCTGCAAAGAACGGGTCCTGGACCCCTGGGGGCTCCCCCCAAGATCAGCTCTTCACTCTGGCCCGCGGAGGGCTCAAGAAGCTCCCCAAATGACAAAAACCTTAGGACTCCCTTCCTTCGTGGCGAGCTGGGAAGGGCGTCGGCGGAAGGAGCCGGCCAGCTAGCGAGCGATCGAGCGCCAGAGTCGCGCGCTCTCCGCTGTATGGAGCCCGCCCGTGCCTATCGGGGCACGACGTGGAGGCCAGGAGCAGTTCAGGCACGATCGGTGACCGTCCTCTGCGGGGAACGGCGGGGGGGAACTGGCGGAGGGCGCGGGGGCGGAGGAGGTGGATGCATAGGTGGAAGGGGTGGGGGAGGTGGGTGGGTGAGAGGAGAAGAAAAGAGAAGAGGCTAGTGGAGGCCTCCAGAAGCCCCAAAAAGGCCGACAATGGTCAAACACCCGGATCTTGGATCCTCGCCCACTTCCTCCCGAGGACTCCTCCTGCCCGCCCCTTCCTCCTACAGCACGCCAGCCTGACGTTGAAGACGTGTCTAATCGAACATGGTCCTCCACATAATACTTATCCTCTTCCTTCTCCTTATACTCCTGTCTCCTTCCCCCTCCTCCATCGCCACCTCATCGTCCTCTTCGTCTGTTTATCCTCCTCATCCGCCTCCTCCACACCCCCTTACTCGTCCCCCTCCTTTCCTTTCCCACCTATCCACGGGCGCCTCCTCCATCGCCTCCTCCTCCTCCTCGTCGTCCTCCTGCTGCACTTCCCTTTCGTCATCCGCACCTGCCTCCTCCCTCTCCCCGCCCTCCTGCCCCTCCGCCGCCGCCGCGCCGGCCGTTTTGCTTGAGTCTTCGTCAGCACTTATGATGCTGAAGTTTGCCACTTGCAATAATTTCGAAGGATTGGAGGCGGTCCCTTTTCAACAAGTGGCCCTCGCCTTAGCTCCGCGCGCATTCGCTTTGACGACTCACAACGCATTCTAACATGGAGTGCAGTCCGTTTTCATAATGTGGCTCTCGCCTGAGCACCACGCGCATTCGTGTTAAACAAATAGCAGCTTCGACGTTGGGGACGAGCCCTTTTTAAAATGTGGTTCTCGCCCCACAAGTTTGCAACGGCTTGAAAGATTCGTGCAGCTGAAATCCCAGAACTCGTGTTCTGGCAAGATGCAAACCTGTCAGGGCGCGACGATCATCGTGATTCGTGGTGTGGAATCCCACGAATGTTGTCTAGGCGCGATTCAGGATTGCCAGGACGCATACGTTGATTCGCGGCGTGGAGGCTCCAAGCATGGTGGCTTGGTATAATGAGCAGATTTTCGGACAATTGTCCTCTCATGGGGCATTCCCCGCAGTGAATATACAGTCTTATAGGGACCTCTCGAGGGGAACTTGGGCGGGGGGGGTCAGTCGCATCATCGTTGATGCATCTTGGGCTTGCACTGGTCCTCCTCCTCTTTCTCCTCCTCCTCCTCCGCCTCCTCCTCCTTCGAAGGCTGCAGCGGGTCTGTCGTTGGCGCCCAACGTCCGCGCTGAACTCGTAACCGCAAGAGACGCCAAAGTATAGCGTCGCGATGAGCCGGCCACGCCGCCGCCGCGGCCCCGCCAGCGTGCCTCGCGCGCCAGCTCGTCCGCCAGCGCGGCGGCCGCGGCCTGGGTGAGCGCCGTGCTGAGTTCGGCGCCCCAGCGCGCAGCGAGAGCGCCGTCGGCGGCTTCAGCCTCTGGGCCGTCGTCGAACAGCTGGGCGTGGCTGCGTGCCGGCCAGCGCACATGCTTCAGCGCAGCTGGCCCATGGCCCCCCCCAGGCCGTCTCTAGCGCGACTGGCAGCGCCCGCCAAGGTGCGCGGCTGGCGGCGTAGTGCCCTCGCTTGTTGCTCCCCCTTCCAGGCCGCGGCGCCGTCCGCGTCCGCCGTCGCCGCGAGGGCGGTGGGCTCGCCTGGCACGTTGTAACGGACAATCGCGCCCGCTAGCAGCTGCAGGCAGCCAGCCCGTTGGGCCTGCAGGTCGAGCAGCACCTCTTCGCGGCGGTCTGCAGCGCGGCCCCGCGCGCCAAGCAAGGCCCATCTGGCGGATCGCCCGCGTGACCGCGCGCCTTGCAGCCGGAAGCCGTGCGCGTCCAGCGCCAGCGGTCCCAGGCAGGGACGTGGACCTGGCGAGTCGTCTGGAAGCCGCACTCAGCGTGAATGCGTCCCCAGAAGTCTTCGACGTCTCGGCTGCGCGCCGCCGCCGCAACCGAAGCAGAAGGCGTGGAACGCATTCTAGCAGAGGGGCGGGCCGCAGGGCTGGCCGGCGCGGGCGCCCGTTCGCATCTCGCTCCAACAGCGGCTGCTCGGTGGCGCCAAGTCCTGGCCCAGCAGCGCACGCGCGGCCCGCCGTTCGCCAGCTGCCACCTGGCTCAATGGGCGCCGCCGCAGCAACGGAGTCGTGCCGGGTCCTCGGGGCCCACAATGCCTCGCGAACGTTGGGGTTTCTGCTGTCTAGCATACGCGTGAACAGTTTCTGGGCTTCTTCCCGTGGTGCTTGGGCAGGCTCCCGCCAAGGCGGCAGCGGCGCGGCGTCCTCCTCGTCGGCGGGGCGCGGCCGCTGCAACGCGGTGGGCGCCTCCCTGCAAGCAACGGCCATCGACAGGGCGGGGGCGTCCAAGCCAGCCATGTCGGGCAGGCCGCTCCTTTCCAGCGTCCTCGCTAGGCTCTGCGCACAGGATACCCCTCCTCTTCCTCATTCGCCTCCTCCTCCTCCTCCTCCTCCTCCTCCTCCTCTCCTCGTCTCCTCCCTCATCCACCTTCCGAAGCCCTTCCTGCACCGCCTCCTCCCTACTCTCCCCGCTCCCGCCCTTTGCCTCTCCCCCTTTTCCCCTTCCACTTTCTCCTCCTGCCCTCCTGAATTCGCTCCTTCTCTTCCTCCTCCTACTAAGTTTGTTTTTGTTCTCCCCCCCCGGTGAATGAAACCTCTGGTCAGCATGCGCCAGATTGCAGAGGGCGCTGCTCCCGAACGACGTTGCGTTGGGAAAGTTGGATGGTGCTCTAGCATGGCTGCTGGCCGCCAGGCGGATCGAAAGATCACGTGGCAATGCAACAAGAGCCCAGGGAGGAGGAGGAGGAGGAGGAGGAGGAGGAGGAGGAGGAGGAGGAGGAGCGAAAACAAGAGGCGGGCAATGGAAAACGACCCAGGCGATGTGTGGGCATCTCCAGCGGTCCAAGCGACCAGCGGCATGCAAAAGCCGCACGCACAACCAGCGGGCAGGAGCCTACCACATTGTAGGTTAATGGGCCGTGCAGCTACGCAAATGAAAGGAATGTGACACCCACTCTTATCGCACCAGGGGGAAAGCTAGCAGAAGCAGGAGAAAAAGAATGAGCTCGCGCGCGCGCAAACCAACCTGTAGTCGGTGTACGCACAGGGTCCCACACGAGCAACCTAGAAGGACAGGGAGAACGAAAGCAGCGATCACTGAACAGTGGAGCTGTTGTGGCAGGGCGTGCGCCACGATGCCTGCCCGAGTCCTGCCAAGCAGGGGCGGGGAGGACAGGGTGCGCGCGACCGTGGGCTGGGCGGCCCGCAGCAAAAACGCAGGAAAGGAAGACGAGAGGAGGGAGGAACAGGGGGGAGGCGCAGAGCACCGGCCGCCCATGGCACTCCGAGTCAGGCCCCCCAGGCGTGCCTAGGGCCGACCAGGTGGAGTAGAAGACGCAGTCGTACTGGGAGCTGTGCTGGGGTCAGTGCTGATGCTGGAGTCGGTGCTGGCGCCGGACTTCCCATCTGCCGTACGATAACGGATAGGCCAGACCAACCAAAGCCACACGATAACGGATAGGCCGGACCAACCAAGCATTCCAATCTCCTTCCCACTTGCAATAAAGTGTCCGGTAAAGTTCCGGGCAGCAGCTGCACCTCCACCACAGTCGTCGCCCCGGAGTCGGTGAGCTGGTCGGTGCGGGAGTCATCGAGCTGGTCGGTGCGGGTGTCGGTGAGATGTGGTTGCTGTGAGGCGCGTGTGTGGCGGCATCCGGGTTGCACCCGCACGCGGAAGCCGGAGCACTGGTCGGCGAGGTAGTCGGCGAGCTGGTCGGTGCGGCTGGCCGCATCGATTGGCTCGAAGTAGGCGACTGTGTATAGTAACGCTCTGGACGGTCCTGGCATAGCATACGACGCACCGTCTCCGTGACATTGGAGAAGGGGTAAGATCTGTTCGCTCTTGTGTCGCCATACGTGCCATACTCCTACTACTCTACTACTCCTCTACTACTACTACTACTACTACTACTACTACTACTACTACTACTACTACTACTACTACTACTACTACTACTACTACTACTACTACTACTACTACTACTAACTACTACTACTACTACTACTACTACTACTACTACTACTACTACTACTACTACTACTACTACTACTACTACTACTACTACTACTACTACTACTACTACTACTACTACTACTACTACTGACTACTACTACTACTACTACTACTACTACTACTACTACTACTACTACTACTACTACTACTACTACTACTACTAGTACTTACTAACTAGTACTACTACTACTACTAGTACTAGTACTACTAGTACTAGTACTAGTACTACTACTGCTACTACTACTGCTACTGTACTGCTACTGCTACTGCTACTGCTACTACTACTACTACTACTACTACTACTACTACTACTACTACTACTACTACTACTACTACTACTGCTACTGCTACTGCTACTGCTACTGCTACTGCTACTGCTACTGCTACTGCTACTGCTACTGCTACTGCTACTGCTACTGCTACTGCTACCGCTACCGCTACTGCTACCGCTACTGCTACTGCTACTGCTACTGCTACTGCTACTGCTACTGCTACTGCTACTGCTACTGCTACTGCTACTGCTACTGCTACTGCTACTGCTACTGCTACTGCTACTGCTACTGCTACTGCTACTGCTACTGCTGCTACTGCTACTGCTACTGCTACTGCTACTGCTACTGCTACTACGGCTACGGCTACGGCTACTGCTACTGCTACTGCTACTGCTACTGCTACTGCTACTGCTACTGCTACTGCTACTGCTACTGCTACTGCTACTGCTACTGCTACTGCTACTGCTACTGCTACTGCTACTGCTACTGCTACTGCTACTGCTACTGCCACTGCTACTGCTACTGCTACTGCTACTGCTACTGCTACTGCTACTGCTACTACTGCTACTGCTGCTACTACTACTACTACTACTACTACTACTATTCTTTCCTCCTCCTCCTCCTCCTCATTCTCCTCCTCCTCCTCTTCCTTTTTTCCGTCCCACTCCTCCTCCTCCTCCTCTTCCTCCTCCTCCTCCGTTTCCTCCTCCTGTCGTTCCTCCTTTTGCTCGGTTGCGAGGCAAGCGAGAGAGGCAAGCGAGGGATAAAGAGAGAGAGAGAGAGAGAGAGAATGAGGGAGAGAGGGAGGGAGAAAGGGAGAGAGGGAGACCTTTCCTCACAGATAACTCCTCCTTGTCGCACCCCGAGACCAGTCGAAAGGCTCGGGCCGGGCGTTTCGCTTGAGAGTTCCTCCCCATTTACCATTTGAAACTTAGAACTTTCAATCGTTTCACGGATGGATGGCGGGCCTTAGCACCGCGCATATTCGTTTTCAAAGTTTGTAAGACCGTCACGGATGGATGGCGGTTCCTTTTCAACATGTGGCTCTCGCGTTGGCGTCGCGCCAATTCGTTTGTAAGAACTTACATCCGTTTCACGGGTTCTCAGCGCTAACGTCCCAGAAACGATGTTTTCGCACGACGTCGGTTGTCAGAGCGCAACCGCTACGTTGCTTCGCGGTGTTGACGTCCTAAGAACGGTGCTCTGGCACGACTCAGGATCGTCAAGACGCAACGGTAACGGTGATTCGCGGCGATGACGTTCCAGGAATGTTCTGGCGCAGTTCAGGATTTTCAAACGGTTGCCTTCCAACGGGGCACTTCCCGCGGTGAAAACGAGTCCTTGTAGGGGCCTGTGAAGAGGGATCTTGTAGGGAGGGTTTACTGCAATATCGCTGATGAGTCTTGGGTTTACAGTGGTCCTACGCCTCCGCCTCCTCCTCACCCCCCCGCTCAAAGCGCGTCGGCCGAGAGAAGGGTGCTGGCGCGGATGCGAACCTCCCAGCCCGCCCCCCCCCCCCCGCGCCAGAGCGGGCACGCCCAGCGCGTCGCAGAGCTCCGCGCATGCCCGGTCGCCGATCACGTTCCCGGCGAGCTCGAGCTCCGCCAAGGACTTATTCGGTGTGCTCCTCACCTGGAGGCCTCCCGGGTGGGGTCCGAGCAGCTGAGGTCGGGGGATCACGCCGCATCGCCGATTCATCGGCGGCGTCGGCGATGCATCGGCGGCGTCGGCGTGGAGAAGATCGGGCTTCGGCGATGCGGCGCGATCCCCCGACCCCAACTGCTCGGACCCCATTTGGGAGGCCTGGATCTGTCACCAGCCTTGCGATGGTCATGCCCCCAGCCTCGCCCAGCCTTCGAAGACCACCCAAATCTACACACACAAAGCATATGTAAGCTACCGGAGGCCCGCGCCCATTTCTTGCGCTGAAGTGGCGCCTCCTGCACGCACCGCGCGCCGGGGGAGGGTGCGTGGTGCGTGGTGCGGGGTGCGTGGCGAGGGAGGTCCAGCGCCGACCCGAGGCATCCACGCGGACCTCCGAGCCTTGATGCTCGTAACGAGAGGAGCCCAGGGAGACACAAACCTATGATCATAACTTCCAGGGTTCCCACTATTTTGCGACATACGTTGCATTTTATTTTCGCCCTCCGTTGCAAATACTTTCCAACATGTTTCTGGAGATCAAAATCTTATTTGGGTCTATGCATGTTCTCTTCTCTTGACTTATGCAATCTTTCGGTCTTCGGCAGCCGGTTGTGGGCCAGGTCCAGGGACTTCAGCCTCACGAGCGCGGGAGAGACCGCGTGCAGCCTCTCGGCGCCCACGCTGGTCAGCCTGTTCTCCGACAGGCGGATGCTCTCGACCTGGGCCAGGCTCCGCTCCTCCATCGCCGTGAGGAGCGAAGCCATGTAGTCGTCGTCGAGCCCCCACTGCTCGAAGTCAAGCGCCGTGCTTGAGTCGTCTGCCGCCTCCGCCGCGACCGCGCTTCGACGCGTCGCCGAGGCGCCGGCCCCCTCCCTGACGCGCGCCCTGCTGGCCAGCACGCTGCTGACCGGCGGCTGGCGGGCGCGCCGCGGTCCCAACTGGTCTCTGGGCTGCGCCGCTCTGGCGGGCACGAGGGCCTCGCCCGCCTCTCCGCTGCGGCGCGCAGCCCGCTCTGTGGCAGTGGCTCCCACGACGACGTCCTGGTGCGCCATCCTCCTGGAGTTGAACAGAAACGACTTCTCGCCCTCGCCAGCCTGCTGCGAGCCCGGGTTGCCGTCGGGCCCAGCGGCGTCTCCGTCCCCCTGGACGTCGTCCCGGGTCTGGTGCCGGGAGGGCCACGAGAACGTCAAGCTCGCCGCCTGCGTGTTGTAGAAGACGCTGCCCGGGTCGAAATGGATGGGCCCGAAGCCTCCGACATCTGGCGGCTGCGGCTCCCCGCTCTGCTGGGCGTCCGCGTCGGCGTCGCCGGGCGCCTGCGCGCGCAGCGGCGGCAAGCGCGCGGCGCCCGGCCTGCGCTGCGCCCCCGCAGGGGCGGCGGGCGAGCCGGGAGGCGCCAGGCGGGGCCACCTCAGCCGCGAGTGCTGCTTCCTCGGGGGCCGACCCAAGACGGGGGCCAGAGCAGCTGTGGTCGGAGGATCGCGCGGCGTCGCTGATGCATCGGCGACGGTGCTATGGAGAAGGATGCTCTCCAGATCGCGCTGCGTCGCCGACGCATCGGCGATACGACACGAGCCAAACACTTCTCCCAATACAGGGCCACCAGAAATCCCGACTCTTTCCGCAACACTGGCTTTTCATCCCCAATGGTTTTTGGCGAGGCAGACTCCCGTTATGATCTTCCACGTCGTGAGGATGTCAGGGCCGTCCGGTTCTCGGGTGATCGCTCGGGTCTCCGGCGGCCGCCTGGGGCGACTCGGGCACCCCCAGAACGCTCTCGGCGAGGCGCCGCTGCTGCAACACATCCGAGCACACCGAGGCAAGACCACACCTGCAGGAACCAACGGACACGCCCGACACGAGCGACGAGGATGCGCGTGTGGGACCCCGCGCCAGGGCCGCTGCTCTGACCCCCTTCGCGGGGCACGGAGTCCTCCGGCTCGCCAGCGCGCGGGACGTCAGGCTCGCGGGCTCCTCCGCGATGGGCGGGGCGGGCGGCGGCCTGGCCGACAGCGGGAGCTCGAGGTCGAGGCGCCTGCTCGGCGGAGAGGGCACGGCAAGGTCGCGTCGTGACGGCTTCGGCGTGGGCTTCTGCCGCCGCGCGGATCGCTCGACCCTGGACGACGTCGCGGTGTTCCGACCGCGCAGGATCGCTCGATCTCCGCCGATTCCTGGCCGCTGGCGCGGAATTCAGCCCCGAACGCCCGCGCTGGGCTGGTCGCCGCGCCGACACGGCACAAACCTGCCGTAGCCCAGGCAGGCCTGACCTGGACCAAATCGCGCAACCGGATCGAATCGGAAACAGGTCGGACCGCCAGCGGATCGCCCCGAAATCGGATCGCAACGCCTGGCTGACGCCAAAGAGCCGACCCGAATCGAATCGAACCGCAGTTGTAGCCCCAGCCTGCGAATCGAATCGCATCGCATCGGGTCCTAGACGGCCCTGCCAAGTGGCGGGCGCTACGCGTTGCCCGGGAGCTTCTTCGACCACGTGGGCGATCGAAGCCCCTGGACACGTGTAGTGCCCCCCCCAGACTATCTGCCCCTGTTGTGTAACCGCTGGCCTGCCGTGGACCACGGAGGCGGGCGAGGCGTCGGGTTTCCCGGCCAGGGGGGAGGCTGCGTCCTCTGGCGGGGCTGCGAGAAGGGTCCATGGGGCCAGACACCTGCGGCTCGAGAAAATAGAGGCGTGTTTTTGTTTTTGTTTTTGTTTGTTGTTGTTGTGGTTGTTGTTGTTGTTGTTGTTGTTGTTGTTGTTGTTGTTGTTGTTGTTATTATTATTATTGTTATCGTCGTCGTCGTCGCCGCCGCCGCCGCCGCCGTCGTCGTCGTCGTCGTCGTCGTCGTCGTGGTCGTGGTTGTTGTTGTTGTTGCTGTTGCTGTTGCTGTTGCTGTTGCTGTTGCTGTTGCTGTTGCTGTTGCTGTTGTTGTTGTTGTTGTTGTTGTTGTTGTTGTTGTTGTTGTTGTTGTTGTTGTTGTTGTGGTGGTGGAGTACTCATTTCTAAAGAAAACTTACTGTTGATCTCCAGAAGCGGTTCCGCGCGCTCTCGCCTCGACGCCAGCTGCATTTTCTCTGAAAACGAGGCTCCCGCTCGAGCGTTGGCTTGAGCCTACATGTGAGCCCTTGGAGGCCCAGCTGCGACAACAACGGCTCCCGCTCGATGCTCCCTCACAAAATACCCCGAGACACCCTGGCCAGAGAGGCCCCCGAACTCAGGAACGGCGCTCTTCCTCGCAATTCAATTTAGTTGGCGGAGGCCCAGCCACGACGACAAGGGCTCCTGCTCGACACTTCCTCACGATTTACTTCGAGAGCCTCTGGCCAAGAAGGCCCCAAAACTCAAGAACGGCGCTCTCGCTCGAGACTTCCCCGTAATTCAAGCAAGTTGGTGGAGGCCCGGATATGGCGACAAGGGCTTCCGTTCGATTTTTCTCCATAGGTATTCCGAGAGCCCTTGTCCAGAGAGGCCCCCGAACTCAGGAACGGCGCTCTCGCTCGAGACTTCTTCGCACTTCTGTCAGTGGCTGACAGGGAAAATATTCCCCCCGAAAGGGGGTGCAATCGAAGACGGGGTCGGGGTATACGGAATGCAGGACACGCGTGCCAGTAAGAGCGAACAGTCTTAAACTGATTGGTGTTGTTGTTGTTGTGGTTGTTGTTGTTGTTGTTGAACATTATTTATTCTAAAGAATAATTACTGTTGGGCCCCCTGGTGCGCGCCCCCCCTGCGCCGCCTAGGCCGCAGCTACATTTTCATCATTTTCGTGAGGAAGCCTCAGAAAAGAGGGTGTGTACAGGATCCGGTTGTTTTGTTGTAATCCGCTTTCCCTTGCAAAAAACAATAGAAAATGACATTTCTTGTTCTAATATAATCAAATTTCAAGAATCCCTTGCAAAAAATAAGGTAAAGTGGACATTCGCGCGCGCAAGACGAAATCCTTCCAAAACCTTAGTGTTCGCAGCGATTTTAACATAAAAACATCAAAAAACCAATGGTTTTTCAACAAAAAATGTCAAAATCTCATCCCGCGCGCTCTTGCGGATTCGTAGGAAACCCAACACTTTTTAAACATTTCTGTCAAACGGGCTTTTGCGAGCAACTTTTTCGAACTTCTGCGACAACGGTTGCGCACCTGCCAGGGCCATCATCCCTGTCAAATAATACCATGCGGGACACATTCGTTTTTTCTTCGCGCGCGCACGCCGTCGTCGTCGGCCGCGGGGCCCTGAATAGTAGCCACGGTCGTCCGCATGCCACGAAGTGAAGTGTCCGAACGTCATAGGGCGGGAAGCTGGGTGTGGGTGGTGGCGAAGAGTCGTTTGGAAATTTGGTAGAGCTTGAACCGGCCCCCCCACAAAGTGGGGGTATTGCCCGCCTCCTATGAAAACCCTGGCACTGGTGAGAACGGAGTGTCCCCACGTGCTAGTAATTGTTGAATATTATTACTTCTAAAGAATAATTATTGTTGGGCCCCCTGGTGCACGCCCCCCCCGCCGCGCCTAGGCCGCAGCCACGTTTTCATCATTTTCGTGAGGAAGCCTCAGGTAAAACGATGTCATCCAGATCCGGTTGTTTTGTTGACCCCGCTTTCCCTGGCAAAAAACACTATAAAATGACATTTCTTGTTCTAATATAATCAAATTTCAAGAATCCCTTGCAAAAAATAAGGTAAAGTGGACATTCGCGCGCGCAAGACGAAATCCTTCCAAAACCTTAGTTTTCGTAGCGATTTTAACATAAAAACATAAAAAACCAATGGTTTTTCAAAAAAAAAATTGTCGAAATTTCATCCCGCGCGCTCTTGCGGATTCGTAGGAAACCCAACACTTTTTAAACATTTCTGTCAAACGGGCTTTTGCGAGCAACTTTTTCGAACTTCTGCAACAACGGTTGCGCACCTGCCAGGGCCATCATCCCTGTCAAATAATACCATGCGGGACACATTCGTTTTTTCTTCGCGCGCGCACGCCGTCGTCGTCGGCCGCGGGGCCCTGAATAGTAGCCACGGTCGTCCGCATGCCACGAAGTGAAGTGTCCGAACGTCATAGGGCGGGAAGCTGGGTGTGGGTGGTGGCGAAGAGTCGTTTGGAAATTTGGTAGAGCTTGAACCGGCCCCCCCACAAAGTGGGGGTATTGCCCGCCTCCTATGAAAACCCTGGCACTGGTGAGAACGGAGTGTCCCCACGTGCTAGTAATTGTTGTTGTTGTTGTTGTTGTTGTTGTTGTTGTTGTTGTTGTTGTTGTTGTTGTTGTTGTTGTTGAACATTATTAATTCTAAAGAATAATTATTGTTGGGCCCCCTGGTGCACGGCCCCCCCTGCGCCGCCTAGGCCGCAGCTACATTTTCATCATTTTCGTGAGGAAGCCTCAGAAAAGTGGATGTGTCCAGATCCGGTTGTTTTGTTGTAATCCGTTTTCCCTTGCAAAAAACACTATAAAATGACATTTCTTGTTCTAATATAATCAAATTTCAAGAATCCCTTGCAAAAAATAAGGTAAAGTGGACATTCGCGCGCGCAAGACGAAATCCTTCCAAAAGCTTAGTGTTCGGAGCGATTTTAACATAAAAACATCAAAAAACCAATGGTTTTTCAACAAAAAAATGTCAAAATCTCATCCCGCGCGCTCTTGCGGATTCGTAGGAAACCCAACACTTTTTAAACATTTCTGTCAAACGGGCTTTTGCGAGCAACTTTTTCGAACTTCTGCGACAACGGTTGCGCACCTGCCAGGGCCATCATCCCTGTCAAATAATACCATGCGGGACACATTCGTTTTTTCTTCGCATCATATGCAACAGATGTTCTGTGGAAGGCTTAACAACTTCTGTGGGTTAACAAGGCTTAAC